CCTCAAGGTTCATCACAGATTCATCACTATTCTTTAACGTGGGTATGCATATATTTATTCATATTTACTTTTATTGTTCTAGGATGTACACTAAGTCAATCCCTTCTATTAAACACGGTTATGAATTGGATGCTAGTCTCACATTCAGCAGTTTGAAACTACTGGTGGCTCCATGGGAGAAAGATGAGACTTTCTGCTCCCATAAAGAGTTACAGCCTTGGAAACCCTATACAGGGTCCCTATGAGTTGGAACCAACTCCACGGCACATCACCACCACCACTAGATAAATGAAAACAGAACAAACAGAATAAAACAATGAGCACACTGACACATTGTAAAAATAGTAACCAATGTCATAGAAAAATTTGTGCAAAAATTGTTAGTGGGAGCCTGATTTTCAGTGTAAACTAAAACACAATTTAAAAAAAATTTTTTTTTTTTTTAGAAATCTACAAACTCTGAGTACTTTATTAAAATTCAAGGGATTTGAGAATATGTCTTTATTCTTAATTAAACATAGGTTGGCATTGTATTTTCCAAAAATTTCAGAGGTATTTAGAATTCAATAAGAAACAAGCCTATGGAAAAAGTGTATCCAGATACTTTCCCCCCCAGTCAGTTCCCTAAACACTTCAATTATTTCCTTAGGTGCTTGAGGTATGTTTCTCAATGACTTCCCATTTATTGCATAATTAGCAGTTACTGGAACATTGTAAATTCTTAATACAACTTTTGAATGACTGGTTGAAAGAAATGTCTTTATTTTACTTGTGATGTATGTATATTTCAATACAATAAAATACTTAAAAGGTCAAAATTTTTTCTAAGACCTTATATATAAGAAATTATACATAAGTACTTGTTATTAAGTGCACTAGTCTCTTGTTTTTCAAGCATTATGCAGTTATCAACCCCTAGTACCTCTTTCCTTCAATGTGTTTTTCCACTTATATCTTCCTACTTAATTTGAGTCTTCTGTTCACTAGTTTAAGGACTACAAGTGAGAGAATTGTGGTTTATAATTTAAGTTCTCATCTATAGTTTCCTAAACGACTCATCCAACTTCTTAGTTTCTAGCAGTTTAATTTCTGAACCATACATTTAAACAAAGTTTTCATTCTTAATACTTTTGTTGTTGTTAGGTGCCTTGATGGCTCAAGTCAGTACCGACTCCTAGTGACCTTATGCACAGCAGAACAAAACACTGCCCGATCCTGGGACAACCTCACTACAGTTGCCACGCTTCAGTCCATCGATGCTGCCACTTGGCCAATCCATCTCATTGGGGGTCTTCCTCTTTTTCTCTGACCTTACCAAACATGATATCCTTCTCCAGCAACTGGTCCCTCCTGACAATATGTCTGAAGTATGAGAGATG